TGAACACAGTGGATTGCATTTGTTTTTAAAGCAAATTTAAATTTGATCCATGAGTTTTAAACCCATTTTACTTTAGCCTGAAGTTTCTACTACAACAGTTTTTCCACATCAGATAACTTCGTGTGGACTTTCTGTGCTCATTTCCATTTGTCAGGGAAGAAGAATTCACAACSCTTTACCTTTGTGCCCTTAATTTGATGTCTGTTTTAGTCATGCGAGACCTGCCTTCTGGGCTCCAACTCCTAACTGTAATTAGTAAAAGTGAGCTCCTCAATCATGCATAAAACTGCTGACTCCACACAAACACACAAGAAGAGGACACAAGTATTAAATAAACCATATTCTCAGCTGACGAACAATATTTAATGTGTTTATCAGAATCTAAATGCATTGTGCCGACCCACGGAGGCACAGATCTAATAAATGTTTGCATAAGCACTAATGATTCTTCCTTCATTACAGTTGACATATTTAATCTACTAACAAGGTGCATGACCATTTTGATAATTAATTGCGTGGTTGTAAAGAGCAAAATGAAGATGAAAGGAATCACTCCTCGCACACTCAGAGCTCTGTAGTACGAATCGTGGATCTTAGAAAAGTGTGGAAAATCCGCCGTTTGTTGTCTGAAGTCACTGCTTGGAAAATGTATTTATGCAAACCATTTTTTACAACCCTGAATGGGAATTCCTGTGACTGAATCCAGTTTTAATAAAAGAATCAGGGCTAAGATCAASCACACTTTGCAGCCTGGTATTGTTTTTCTAAAAGTCAAATATCAAACCAAAAAAAACAAGCAATGTGGTGAACTCTGCTGTTTGTATGTGCTGATTTTTCTGGCTTTTAAATCCTTATTTTTCACATTCAAATCATTCAGTTGGGGGTCTGTTTAAAGTGGAACTGCAATGCTTTGGTCTGAATTCCTCTTTATTGTAACTCCACAAGCCCCTCTTTCACCTCTTTTCAGAGGTGTGTCTCAGATCAACTCGTTTTGAGGCTGAATCTTTAAAACCAAACGAGGAAAAAATGATCACTGTTAGACCATTACTTACGTTTATCATTATTTGRTAACTATATAAAGCTGTTTTTTTAACATCTTGTATGAATAACGGTTAAACTATCTTGTGCTACTCACCGTCTGATAYGTAATGATGAATTTGATCATATGACCCACAGGCATGTTCTGGGTGAGGAACTCCCTCATGGTTGGCAGCGGTGGCTGGTAGTGGATCTTTGCTGTTGACACAGTAACAGTAGAGTGAGACTGGAAACAGCTACAGTCTTATTATCAGCTTTCCACCTTGTTTGATGCAAACTAATAATTTGCCTGTTTATCAGAGGTGGGTATTAACTGGTTATATTTACTCAGTTAAATTTACTTGAGTAACTTTTCAARGGAAAATGTACAGTGTAGCAGTGGTTTTACTAAACCATACTGTTTTTTACTTTACTTTAGTAATATTATTAATTATGAAGTATTCTTACTTGAGTAATATTTTTGAATGTTTTACCATCTGTAAGTAAAGAACCTGTTTTAACCAGAAATACAGCAGAGACACTCTTCAGTTTATGTTGGAGTGAGACCTCTTGTTCATACACAAGCTTTGTTGTTCTGATATTTTCTATTTTCTGTGACATTTGGAGAGAGGTCAAGTGAAAATATGATAAACAACAGATATAGTCAATAGAAGTCCCCTTGTGCTGTAATATAT